ATATATATATATATATATATATGTCAGTATGATTTGATAAGATTGTGAACAGATTTTCGCTATCAACGAATTTGCCTCGACACAGCTAAAGCAGTTTGCCAAAATGAGCTGAAACGTATAAATGAAAAAGTAAAATATAAATTAGAGTAACTGTTTAAAGAGACGAAAAGTAAAAAATATATTACGAGCTATCATAAATTATACTGAGATGCACGCATATAAATACTTTATATGTTGATACGAGAGAGAGACTAAAAGAGAAATATACGATGACTATATTCGGACGCATCGAAAGTCAAGAGATACTTTTACCTTCGGCCGCGTATTCCTTAGCTGGAAGATACGCGGTTTTTAATGCGTCCTATATATATGATTACAGCTAGCAAATGCAATGATAATATGTAACTGCCGAATCGGCGCGAATCATGTATACCACTGTCTCACATTTTAGTAAGTATTTAATCGATACTTACCTTGTAACAATACGACCTCCCCTTCGGCGTGTTACTGATTGATGCGAATATCGAGAAATAAGTTATTTTCCGGTCAATCGACGTGATAACAACAATTCTTGAAAGGGAAGATAAGTTCCGACACGAACATTTTTGTATATATCACGATGTAGGTATGTAAAATGGCTCCACACTTAGTACTGTACGTAAGCATTACTGTTCATGATATCTATGTAAATATGTAACTGCCTAAAATGCGAATAAAACAAGAGAATATATCACTGCACACAATACTGCAGTTTTTTTTTCTCAAGATTTATTTAATACGATTTCAATTACAAACTTCCTAATATATATATACATATGTCGTACTTAACTACTAAAATTTGATTGCTAGAACTATATAGTATGTCAACAAAATTTTTTATTCAATAAACTATTTCGTTAACATCCATAGAGACGTCACGATTAATAATTGCAGAAAAATACCTTTCTTTTAAGTCCCTATTAAAACTTCGAATATATCTTATACATATTATTATGTATACAAAATTGAAAATATGTTATAGAATTATTGCTTTCATAATTGACCATTATCTTAGGCGATATTACATTTTGAATTTTGCAACGAACTTTTAGCAGAAAGTGGTATCTGTGCGGTGGAGAAGAACATTTCGTTTAAAGCATCATGCAATGAGCGATATCTATCGAATCTCTATTCGCATAAACATCGCGGCTACTCGCAATATCGCGCAGTCTATACCACTCTCTAGCACTGATATAGAGAGGGAAAGAAAATTATTAACATTAATTGTAAATCCCGTCGAGTCAAACATTTCCTATAATTCTCGCAAAGGTAAGGACGCGCGAGTACCGATGAATATCGACGAGTGCTGACGTGAACCCGCCAAACGTTCTCATGTCACAAAAGAAATATCGATTCAGCAACTCCAATACCAACAGCCATGACCGCAATATCCAAGATGGAATCGATTTCGCGAATGATGATAGAAGTATCGGTATACAGGATGTTTCCTAACAGTGAGACCCACTTCACTGGTGGACAGGAAATACAAAAACAATGAAAAAAAGTTCATATAAATATGTGATCCGTTTGCCTTTGTTTCCGAGTTATACTCATATTTGTATTCTAATGATATGGAACTGCTTATTGTATTCTTTATAAGTGCTCAAAATAACTATTTTCGGCCTGAATGCAAACATGCGGTCGTCGTCGTGTAGATTGTCATACATTTTAAAAAATATCGGGTATTCGTCAGATTTGTTGGCAGCCTTCTTATATACGTTGACGAAATATATTTCAATACTGTCGACGAGATAGGAATAAACAATTGCTTTCAAGTGTCTCCACAAGTAAAAATCTAATGAATTTAAGTATGGGGAATGTGCAGGCCAGCCAAAAGTCCTGCACGACCTATCCATTAGAAAATTATTTATTAGAAAAATTTATTAGAAAATTGTTTATTCAAGAAATTGCTGCTAACAAATCCGACGAACACTCGCTATTTTTGAAAATGTACGACTGCAATCTACACGGCTATAACTGCATGTCTTTGCATTCGGGCCGAAGGTGCAAAAACAGATATGGTTAAACCCGAAATATTTAGTTGTAAGCAATATAGCTACATTATTCTAGTTATCTTTGTGCAATAAGTATGTCTATAGTTGATTTAACTTATTTACTTTGATGAGTTACATTAATGTAGTTACGCATAATCTGGTTGTGACAACCAAAACTTGGTTGGATCTTTTACTATGGATAAGTTATCTAACTGCATAATTGTAGTAAGCAGTATTGGCAATAATAATTGACAATAATGCAACATGCATTATTGTTCGTACGCCTATACTGCAATGAGAATCGAATTTTCGTTTATTCTTAACTTCTTACTATTTAATCTGGTTACCATCACCGGATTTCTGTATAGGCCACCCATACTGTTTTCTCCGTGCATGAATATTTGATTTTGAGCACTTCTTACAAAAATAAGCAGTTTCATATATAGGTATTACTGAAATACAAATGTGACTATAACTTGCCAGTGTTGTGTTGCCAGTTCCTCTGGTGCTACTTTACGCGCATTTGCTGACGCGGTGCCGCCGATACTACTATAATACAGTACAAGGAAGTCGCGTACTCGACATATATACGAAACATCGCGAACTGTTTTTATAATTAATACCACACGAACTGCGGGCTCTGTTTGTGGCGTTCTATCGTTCGAAGCATCAATTAACCCTCGCAAACTATTCGCGATATCGTCGGCTTCCTGTGTGATAAACAGCCGCTGCGGTCGCACTAATTGTAAAATTCCCCCCTTCCCGAGGAGTTGCAGTCCCTGTGCGAAAGTGCTTGAATGAGTATATCTGTCTTAATAATTTTAAAATTATATATTTGAATGTTTGGTTTGCTGTTTGCAGCAAAAAAATATTCTTAAGAAAAAAAAAGAAAAGATCATGGAGGCATCTCCCTCTCCACAAAGTGCGAAACAAAGCCAAATAGGTAGCATGTCTAAATGATTTTATCATTGCTTTGTATCTCCGTCGACCAGTCCACCAGTGGGTTCCATATTAGGAAACACCCTGTATATGTACATACAATAATGGGAAAACATGTTTTTTTCCATCAAAGCAAATTACTGCTATGCTCTTCACAAAATTGAAAATATTTCTGAAACGGCGCTACAAATTGCTGTTAATTGATTATGTCACATGTTAGTTTCTTCCGAACAAACATCAACTAACAGTCATGTTATTGTTGGGCGTTTGCTCTGCAAATGTAGAATTACATATAAAATTTTTCTATATAATTTTTGTTTTCAAAAATTCTTTGTTTATCACAGTCTCGACAAAAATAAAATATGAAATGAATATAAAACTCTATAAATATTAGAGTTATAATATTACCTTTTTTACAAGAAAACACATCGAAGTGCCTTCCCTCTCCCTTCGATTTTAATGACCTTTTAATATGAATTATATATTTGAGATCAAAATATAAAACGTGTACTTTTTTTATACGTGCTTATAGGTACTTTTAAGAGATAAAATATTTCTTTGTGAAAAGAATCGGTTATTCTTTCAAAGCGAACATCGATTAAATTATGAAATATAGAACAAAATTGTTAATAATTAATAAATTAATTTTAATAAATTAATAAAAGTTGAATGCTTTCAAAAGTTTTCTATAATAATATAATAAAATTTAAAAAACATTTTTTTATCATTATAAATCTTTTTAAAATCATTCAACTTTATATAAAAAAATTTTTGTCATCTATTATAGTTTAGACAATATTGCAAGACTTGTTACAGTAGCTAATGTTTTTCCTTCTAGTGCACAAAACGATCCATAGGTTTCAGATGGGATGTGAACTTCAGAGACTCGCTTCTTTTATTCACGGGAAGAACAGGACACTTGTGCGCACATTTTAGGTCATCACGTGATTAATGCTACTCGAAAACGATACCAAAACGATATTCGCCCCGAAAAAAATAATTGATTTTCTTTCAAAGAAATGTTGTACCCTCTAAAAATGCATATAAAAAAATACCCATATTTTAATCTCGAATACAACGTACATTAAAAGCTCATCAAAGTCGGAGCATTTCCATGTGTATTCTTGTTAGATATGTTATTGATAATTGCTGATAAAACAACATACATAGATAAACGACTGCATTTCAAAACGCCAAATAATAATATTCGTTGTCGTCAAAACGTAATTTTGAAAAACGATATGTCAAACAAGTTTCAAGTTCAATACCTCCGTTTCCTTCAATCCAATCTAATAATCATACAATAAATTTTATCTCTCAACTTCGTTATCTGTCAACAAGTTATCATAAAAACATTATCTAATCGTTTAAAATTATTAAATGGATTCAAATATTTATACAAAAAAATGTATATATATATATATATATATATACCTATATATAAAACCCTAAAGAAACGAATAATCCATGTTATCTCCTTAAGCAAGTTTCGGCAAGTTGATCAGTATTGCTCGTTTTAGGGAATAGTCAATCCCCAAGTTTGCATCACATCCTCTTGACTCATGGGCCACAATCTTTTCAGTAACACCCATCCGGTTTTCTGTGTACTCAGCAAATACTGATTTTCGGGATCGTGCAGGTGTGAGTAAGCGCCCATTACCAGACTCTGGCATATCCTGGCGCACACGCTGATCTTGAGAATTTTTTTTTCCATGTCGGTCAACTTCTTGATCTTCTCATAGCCCTCCACAACGTGTTTACCCATCCCCACGTCGGCCGTTTGCAGGATCATGTAGCAAAGAACTATAGCTAACTCGAAAACGCGACAAGTCCTGTGAGAGTCACCGAAATCGATCACGGCGGCAATGTCCTTGCCGTCGGGACTCACAATAATGTTGTGCTCATTCAGATCACCATGTATGACAGTTTGCTCCAGTTGATCCATGATCGGCAGCACCTCCCTCTGAAAACTCACGATCACGTCGTGCGCCAGCTGCTTGTCCAACGAGCTCTTGATCGCGTACGTGAACTGCTGTACTCGCGGCACCGAAGTCAACATCCACATTGATCTGTGATTGTCGCAGGCGGGATGATTGAAGCCCATGAGGATTTCGTCGATTCTTGCGGTGAAGCTGCCGACGTTGCGCAACAATTCGTCGGTTATATTCACGTGGTACAGCAGCTCACCGGGACGGTAGACCAGCAGTCTCACGGCGTACTTCTCCATGGTATTCTTGCTCTTCAGCGTCTCCAGAGAAAAGTATGTGCCATTCACGTTCTTGACCGGTAACGGGCAGCAGACGTTTCGCTGATTGAGAAAAATCATAAGCTCAGTCTGCGCCTCGATCACGTCGGTCTTGCGGGAATCCAAGGAGTTGATCACCTTGAGGACGTAGCCGGCCTTCTCCGGGCTAATCACGTGCGGATTCGCAGTCGTCCCATCACACATCACGTGGTAATTGCGGTCGTCGTAAGCGTTAATTTCGCGCACGCTCGTCGCCCTCATGCCATAGAGCTGCTCCAACAGGGCGACTGCCATCTCCTCGGTCACGGGCGGACGTATATGTTGGCCTGGGATGAGCAGCGTGTCGTTGTACTCCATGTTGCTCGCGGTGCACGGCGCAAAAATAGCCGCGAGTTATTAAGGGGGGAAGCCGGGTCGATGAAAAAGAGAAATGTATGTCCCCTGCGCGGCGAAGAGAGAGAGAGAGCGAGAGGAAGGGCGTTTGGAACGGCGAGTAAAGGCCGTGGCTGGAATATATCTTCTTTGTTCTTCGGCTGATTAATTGTTAAACTGTACAGACACAAGCTACAGCTGTAGAATTTTGCGTATTAATGTAAAAGTGTTGGAACAATTTATCAATTGATTGGAGCACAACGTCGGTGGGGTAAAAAGATAAATTGCAATTGATAAAATTTATATTTAAAGGTTGATATTGTTGCGATGAGACGAAACGTGTGTAATATTCGTTTCTTTACAAATGGCAACTGCATTATTTCATTAACAATATATTTAATGCACTAACATGCATACACACACCTTTAATTTAATATTTAATTTTAAGCACATCGGAAAATAATTCAATTAAATAACTCAGTTGAAGGAAATAATGTAGCTGAACTTATTACTTTCTTTTACAAGATAAAAAAAAATATTTTTCCATGTGTAATTTGTTCAACAAGGGCAATAAATAGGAAATTTTAAACATCTTTAAAACAAAACGTGCATCTATAGAAACAATGTACGTGATAGCAAACGGATATTCGTGGTCGTGGACATATATATGTAAACGTATCGACTCACCCAAGTGAAGGACGTGTTTATTCGACCGAAGGAAGCGGCAAACTAAGTTCTCAAACGGACGGAGCAGTTTGCCGTGCTAGGCGAGCGATCGTGTGCGCAGGGAGCGTAGTCCACGCTCAATCATCGTTGACATACAGCACAACTGGAGGGTACAAACGCGCAATGATATTTACATCAGTGTAATTGGGCATACAGCACACGATGCAGCACGATACAGCGTATCGCGGTGACTAAATGACTCAATCTTATCGTGGCCGATAAAAACCAACGGAGATAGCGTTTGTGCACCCAACTATGTTGTTACCTCCGAGATTCATTGAACCGCAGGAGCTTACTTGATTTGCAAAACACTGATGGAGCTAAATCCGGTATCGCTCTTTCGCGAAGAAATATATATATATACGCTTGTTAGACAGTATTGGAATTTCTTCATCAAACTCATATTATTTTTTACAATGCAATTTATAATATATTTATATTTATATTTACAAATAAATTCTTTTCGTATATACAAAAGTGATATAAATCTTTTAAAATATGGTCACAGAAAACTTTGTGGGAGGAAGATTTAAAATTGTTTCAGTCCTCTTTACATTTTTTCATTACGACGAAATATACTGAACTTTGTAACTGAGGCAACTTTAATTCTGCATGCACGTCTTGTAAAAATTTTTATATAAAAAAAAGATTACTTATAATAAATACTTGTTCTATAACCTCCAGAATATTTATATATGTACATATATTCAATATGCATCACAGCTTTTTTTACATTCGGTACAAATTCATTCCTGCATTAATAGCTGAAAACAAGTATCGAATGTACACAAGGCCGACGGTATTCTCTCCATTAATTTTATAATATACAAAGCTTCTAATATATATTTCTGTTTCTTTAACTCGTGTATGAGTATTTTCGCATGTCTCTCAATGCCAGTTAGGGACTCGTTTATAAAGACATGTTCAATTATCTGTTTGTATACAACGTGATCTGGTCTAAACAATGCTGTTAGATCATTTAGGAAAAGTTTCTCCAGTACTAATGATGGTAGCACAATAGTCTGGAAAAACAAAGTTATGGAATTAAAAATACGTTTTAGGAGTTAACTGTTCGTACGCGAATGGACAGATGGGCCAGAGACAGAGAAAGAGAAAGAGAGAGAAGAAAAACAAGAAAAAAAGACACTAACCTGTTGTTCTTTAATGAGATTTACTGCTTCTTCATGCATCGACACGTTCTGAGAGCATAATCTTATGTAGAGGCTTTGTACAAAGCTAATGTGATCTTGTTCGAGCTCCAAGAACTGTTTGAGGATCTGTATTACAAAAGCATTTAAATAAATAATTTACTTATAATAAAAAAAAAGAATAATGCAATTTGTTATAGTACCTCCTTAGATGTTAATAATTTAATGAGTTCCTCATACTCTTGTAATATCCTTTTTTCAAAATCAGGTGTATTCGTTTCTATAAGCGCAGCTATCACTTTCATCATTTTCAAAATTGGATGGTTATCTATCGTGATATGATCTGGCATATTAAATTTCGGCCACTGCAATATTATTCTTTTCACTTGCTGATATTGCTCTAAATTATTGATTTGATTAAACCGTTTATGAAATAATTTAAATCGATCTTCCTCTGTTACGCACTCAGCAATGGTACGATCAAGTGAAAGAACAGTTTGTTCTTGCGATATTCCTTCGTATCTAATTTTATCCTTCTTATCGCTGTTTGCTTCCATGCTATCATCGGAAAAATCACCCCAATCATCCGTCCATTCTACGGCATCAATATCATCTGAGATAGCCATTTTTAGATCCTCATCTGCCTTAGAATTTGATGGAGTATTATTAACATCGATATATTCTGCAGAATCTTGCTCTTCATTTATGAATTTCGAAGTTTTCGCAGTCTTTTCATCGGAATATACATGGATACTACTCTGTCCCATTTCTAAAGTACTTATATCTTTTATTTCCGCTTGTTTTACACTAGTAACTTGTGCTCCACCGAGTAAATAACTCTGCCAATATTGTAACGCTTTAACAATATCACATTCTTCAGACTTTTGTGCTGCAACTATCATAATTTTCATTAGGTCTAATGGATTGTATAAATACAACTTTTCACAATCAGTGTACAATTTCTTATACAGCTCTAATGAATAGTAGTAAAGCGCAGTCTGAATATACAATTCAGTTTGCGGTAAATCCGTAAAGATTGCCTGAGCATCCAAGAGGCAATCTCTATTTAAACTCAATAGATACGCCATACCAAGTAACCAATCGTCTGGCATAGTGTGCTTTGCACATTCTAGAAGCACTGAAATTAATAAAATAATGTAGTGTGTAAAATTTTGTAATCTTTGTTACACAAAATGTAATTCATTTCAAAAATGTAATTTTTGTTGAATATTTTTAATAACGCGTGATACTTACAATGATTAATGTCACTTATTTCTAGACCATAACAGGAGGATTCACTCAATATGGTAATTCTTAAAAGCGCTCGGCAACATTTTAACTTCGTATTTTCTATATCTATCATAGAATACTTATTATATCTTGTCTCATTAACACTTATCCTACACAATCCGTGTAAAGATTCATAATAGCATGGAAAACTTTGAAGATTGGCATCTTCCTCGGTTTGTTCAATCTCAGATTCATGTTGTGTACTAGTTTCTAAATCATTTTTGAAGTTAAGATTCAGTCTAGATTTCCAAAAATTTGTATTACTGATATTTCTTATCAAGCCAAATGTAGATTCTTTCATGATGTTAGCTGAATTTCTAACAATTCCTGTTGAAGTTTCCAACATTTTTGGAACAAACTCTTTCACTTCTATCTGTGGCTGTAAATTATATAATAATGTTACTTTTTTATATCTTGCATTGTAAGAGAAATATTAACGTTAGTATCTCTCATTGAAATAAATTTCTTTTACCGTTGTCATGGCATCTGTAAAATCATCATCGCTTGTATCACTTTCTTCATCTTTTAAACTTTCAAATTCCGCAGAGGGCATCCACAATTCCAAATTCTTATGCAGCATTTGTATTTCCAACAAATGTACGTGTTCTAAAGCATTACCCAATATATCACTGGGACCATTATTTACTGCAAACCATAGACACTTTTGCCTAACTTTTAAATCCCGATAATTATCACAACGTCCCAAATTTAAACAAATTTCCCAGGCAGAAAGATAATTGTTTTTTGCTAATTGCATACATATCGTGGCACATGTATTATAATCTTCAATCTGCAAAATAAAAAATTAAAAAAAAACGATATATATTATCAATCTTTATGTTTTAATTGTCAAATAACTCTTGAAATTAAATTATAAAGAAAATACATGTAGAAAAAAACAGCTGCATCTCACCTCAAGTGCTTTTTTAGCTATCAGTTCCGAAATCTTTCCTTCGCGAAGTCGACTGTTATTTCCTTCAATTCGTAAATAAGTTGCTAACGTTAATAACTTTTGTCGATTTCTGTAAGCGTCTCTTTGATTATTTAAACAGTGTTCGATCAAAGTTAATCTATCTACTGTTAATCTAACTTGAAGGGGTAATATATCAATATGGAATTCATTCAATATTTGAAGCGACTTAATAAGATCATATTCTTCTTTAATTTTTACGTTATCATCTTCGATAAGATCGAGGCAAGTCCTGGAACAATTATTCGCTTATATAGTATATATGTTATGTTTCAGAACACAGTTACATATAATTTATCATTATGTTAACGAGATACTTACTTAGCTAATTCCATGTGTGGATCCGTAAGCGTTCTTGAACCATTAAAATATTCTTTAGACACTTCTAATATAAGGTCAACCGCTTTCTCGTATGATACTTTTAACAAAGATTTCTCATTTTTCTTAGTTTCTATTAAGGTAGCACAATTACGAATAGTACATTTAATTCTTGAAAGTAAGCGGGCCGAAACGCATATTTCGAAACAGGTTTCAACAGCAATACATGAAAAGATCAATCCATGTATATCTAACATGTCGTTTAATAATTGTGCCCATTCCCTTTCATCTGGCGGTAGCAAACTGAAATAATCGATACATTCTCACGTCTATTATAAAAATCACACAATTAATGTTTGTAAAAATTATAATACAACCTTTTATTTAAACTTCTTGCTGTTTGAACTAACAGTGATCTAGCAACATCAGGATCGTTTCTGTTCTCTCGTATAAATTTTAACGTTGTTTTTACACCGTATTTGCTTAAAAGTTTAACGCAATCAAGTTCTCCTTCACATTCTTCTAATAAGTTGCATATTGAATTTGTCATTTTTCCACCATCATCTTTCGATATTGAATCCAAGATAGCTTTCGCTTTTTCATACATGTCAAGATCGTCACAGGCATATATGCAATCTAAAGCTAAAGTGGCAACATCATCTATCAATTCAATTATTTCAATGTCTTGCGTCTGTTTTAAATACTCGAAAAATTTAACTGGAAACATCAAATCGTCTTTGCTTAAGCAGATTAGGTAATCACTTAATAAGCATTTCTGAAGACCTCCACCCTAAAATTTTAAACAATGTTTTAAAATGTTACATGTATACTTATAATTTCAGTAATGAAAAATGTAGCTATACATACCAAATATTGATGCCTTCGTTTAATAAAAGGCAATAAAAGATTTTTTATATTTTCAACAAAATTAACTTCGTTGGATGTACTCATCAAAAGTTTTATCTTCTCCATGTTGCTCAATTTCTCAAATTTATCTAATGTCATATCCTCCAGATGTACTATATATACAAGATCGTTTAAAGTTTCCAATTCTAATAACAAATCTTCCAGGCCTTTAATATTATGAGATTTTCCAATTTTAACTAATTGTAAAGCATTGTCTACTAAAAAGCTATTTTTTTCTATTTCATAAGCACGAGTCTTATACCATTTTTGCAATAAATCAGATGTAAGTTGTTTGTTTCTAAAAGAAAAATAATGATGATTAGATTATATAAAGAAGAAAACGTAGATAATGTAACAAAGTTCTTACTTATATATGAACAATGAAGGATCCAACTCATATAATATTTCTGATGATCGATCGTCTAAATCGAGATTTATTATTTCGTTAAGCTCATATTTTTCTGACCAATCTTTTTGTCGCAATTCACGTTGATCTAATAAAAATAATTGACCTTCTGAATCGCATTCTGGTAGCAGTTTTTGATAATCTAATGTATTCAGAGTTTCTGGAAAGAAACTAATAATTGCTAGCCAATGAGGCAACAAACTTTCTCCATAATAGGTAAACATAATTTCAACAGCTCGGTAATCACTATCTTTGGCAAATCTGTAATTTAAAAATTATTTGTCACAAAATAAAAGTATATATAATATTTCTTAAATCAATGACAAGATAAAAGTATTTCAGAAATCGGTGATAAGATATGTAAGTATATTACCTTATTGCATTTTCAACAGGTGATAATCTTCGAAACTCTTCGTAAAATTCTTTTTTGTATTTGAGTGGAGACTCTAATATAATTTCATACGTGAGTAATTTGTCTAAATGATTTAGAAGTTTCCTCCGATACTTAATTAAATCTTTCTGGGCCTCAGACAAATTTTTTATGTCTATTTTTTCAAGCATTTCATTGACTTTCTGCACCTAATTAATGATTTCCAAATTGAATTAAATCAAATTACCCTTATAAACCAATTTTGTTTACTGTATAATATGTAATTAATGTACCTTTTATGAAATATATTATCATAAATAGTTTTATTTACCTGTCTTAAATTTATAGTGATTTGATCTAGTGCTTGCCAATCGTTGTCTGTATCAGGAGTTACAAATTTGTCATTGTCGCAAGTATCGATAGCTATTAAAGTTTCTAGATTTGCGCCTCTCAATCCGAAATTTAACAGTTCCCTTGCAGCTTCCATAGTATCGGGGACGCGTACAACGCATTCATTCAAGACCCACGATCTTTTGCTTATTTTACTTAAATGTTCTGCAATGGCATTCAAGGATAATTCTGATTTTCTCCACTGCGTTTGATACACCAGATCTGTATCCAAATTATATGTGTTTGCTAAAGCTAAAGCTTCTTCGTATTCCTAAAATGAAGCCTCTTAGTTATTTAATACAGTGCTATCCAGAATTTGTACTTTTTGCTCGAAATTGAAATGTCGATTGAAGTGTCGATATCTATGCCTCATATTATCGCATTCCTACTTTTCACTTCATAACTGCTTTTTTGTAGCATGCAACGCTCGGTTTCATGGACGAGACTAGTCGAAAAATCGTTAAAAATTTTACATGTGTCATATTACTTAAAACAAATACATTTACAATAATACCTCACACGGAAAAATATTTTGGCAGACTAGTACTATTAATTATTTATATATTCCGTTTTGTTGTATATTTTACACGTATTTTAAACATATGTATAAAACTATATTTATACATATATTACCTATATACCTATATTTTTTGTAATTATATATATTAAGAATAATAGTATCTTTATATTAGATAGTAATAATATGAATTTAATTAATGAAAACATACGTTAAAAATTTCGAATCTCCGACTACCTAGTCTTTGAAACCGTTTTTTTAACTGAAAGCGCGTTGCGCTACGAGAAAACGGTTATAAAGTGAGTAGGAACAGCAATAGGTACACAGATACATTTCAATTTCAAGCCCAAAAGTACATATCCTAGACAGTTTTCTGATTTAATACATAAAAATTGACTAATAAACCAAATTTAATAGAACTATTTATACAAATACCTCAATGTCTATTTTCCTAGAATAGAGTTCTTCCGGAGTCGTACTTTTTAAGCCCAAAATTCTATAAGTTCGATGCAATATTTTCGATTTTTTTCTCTTTGGTTGAAATCTTTCAATATCGGTTATTGAATACAACGTACTTTGTACCAAATTCGTAGTATAATTTAATATAGTAACAGGTTCCAACTCGTCGTCATCCTTCTCGCTTTCAGACGAGGCTTCTTTATCATAAAATAAAAAACATTGTTTTTATTATCTAAATTATTTTCTAACACATTTAAAAAATGTCTAAATACATTTCTTTATTTTTAATAGAGATCATGTATAAAGTGCGATTAGTTAATAAATTATCATATTATATATAAAATAGTTACTGCATAAATGATAAAAATAGTAAAGTATAAATATGTTATGAACAAACCTGATAAATGACCATCGTTGGGTTCTCTACTTCGTTTTTTACTTGTAATAAAGGTTTCGCAATCTAAACATAAAAATCCTTTTTCTAAACCAAGCTCGCATACTTGTGGTTGTCCTGCTAGAAATTCTGGACTAACGCCAAGTAGATTTTTCAAATTCCACGTGGAGCAGACTGAAGTGGAGCCTGAATATCGAGCTATTATTATAGCCTTAAAAAAATGTTTATTTTGAAATACAATAGTAATTATTTTATTAAAAATTAATATTTAAAAAATGTTAAATTAAATAATTCAATTTATAACATTATATATATATAAATAGCTAATTGTAAGATATATTACCTGATCAGACCACCAACCAATATCAATTGGATGAAATTCAGTAAATCCTAGTGGAAATTTTTTAGATTTGGTAAGTCCCAAAGGGTTAGGTATATTATACTCCGGTTGCTCAGACAACTTCCATTTTTTTTGTAATACTAAATTTGGCAAACCCCACAGCGAGACTAAACCATCTGTATGCAGGCACACCAGAAACTCGCCATTTGGTGAAATTTTTATTGAAAATATAATCGATTCAGATTGAAAACTAAAGATTGGGATTAAATTCCATATAGAAAACCTCGAATTGCTGGTAGCAGAGTCTTCAAATGTAAATGATAATTTGCAATATGGATAATCATTCAAGAGTCGCCATGAAGTTAATCCAGACTCGGATGCAGCGGACTGAAACAATATATAAATTATAATTATATTTTCAAGATTATGTATCATACTTGTAGATATATAAAATTCATTAATTTATTTACTTACAGTCAATTTTTGAGTTATCATATTTCCAGCAACATAAAACAAGTTGTGTTTTTTATCATAGGCAACGACGTTGACACCATTTTTGTAAAAATTGCCGAAAGAAAAGTCGTAATTTGCGCTGAAGCCACTTGTAGAAATATGATAAGAACTGAGCAATCCACTGTACGAAATTAAAATGAATTCATAGGCCCATTTTTCATTCGTTATTCTTGGCTTAAGGAACAACATGGATGCGATAGCGTCGCCAGCTTCAAGAATATGAGGGCTTGACGAAATCGTTTTTGGACTTATGTTAAAGATATTATTTCCTAGTGCATTGTAAAAGGACGTATAACCGCTACTAGATGCCAATACTAAAATCATTCCGTCAGGACTCCAAGCAAGCTTACGCCATTGAGGAAAGGCATCCTTTGGAGCTAGAAAATACAATTAACACTTCATGCATGGAACATAAAAAATGTTAAGTTAACAGTACAATATTAATTTACCAGATGCCTTCCCTACTATAGAGGAATATTCATCTTTGGCCTTTCGTATCTCAATGATGTTCTCCTGTAAAATAGCAAGTACCCGACCGTGATCCCCGACCGCAAACTTCCACGGTAGCGTGAGACTAACTTGTTGCGAGATGCTCTCAGGTAGGGAGTACCTGTTGTTGAGGTACCTGAGGGCATTTTTTATTGTGCCAGTAGCCGGGAGGACAGCCGCGTCGTTCTTGCATTTCTGAAATATGGAATACTTTCGTGATACGGCTACGATAATGTTTTAATCTTGCAATTTCCTTCTGCCCGCAATCTGACATGTTGAACTTACTATCAATTCCGGTTCCTGCTTGCGAACGAAATATTCTAATAGTTCGTATAGTATCGGCTCGTTTGACGTTTCGTCCACGTTGCTCATTTTGTCACTACACGACTACGACACACACATAACCTAACCTAACCCTCTGAGAATTATAAACGAAATCACGTAAAAGCCATTGAGTATATAATACACTCAAAGGTAAAAGCAGAAACTCTTCCACAGTATAACCACAGTATAACCAATAGGTCCACTTCGTGTCGGCGCCTTTGATTTTCTTTTCCAGATCACGTGAGCATCTACTATGTTAAATCCAGGATCGAATTGAGAAAAGTGCCTCACAAGTAATAAAACAGATAAGTAATAATATGGATTCGATACAGTAAATCAATAAATTCAATGTATGAATCAAATAAAACGTTTCATTAGTAACAATTATTCGTAGGAGTGATCACTAAAGAAAATTTCTGATGTATTTTCTTATAAATTGTTTGCACATATGTATGTATGTACGTTCCTATCGTCTTACATTTCATTGGATCCAACCCAAAACAAAAGTTGCGCGGCGATACCTGCGCGAAGATTCAATTTTTCGCTGAGTGGACCTACTGGTTATACGGCCGTCGTTTAAGGCGAGTCCATAGGCACGTCAACGAAATAAGATAATATGCAGTTGTAAAGATTTCTTCAAAATGACAGAACAAAATTGAAAATCCTTTTACAGTATTGAAATAGACATAAAATGTACTTTGGGGACGAAGGAATTTGTAGTAAAAAAATTTTTTTAATTACCTTTTTGGGGTATCATAACCTATCATTTGATGTAAACATTTCATTAATGTAGAAGTTCTGTAGCTCATATGTACAAAATGCTTACATCCCCCAAATCGGATTATTTGCACGAATAATACAAAATCTTTTGAGTTACGATTGAAAGTCTAGGAAAAAAGAAATCCTTACAACTGCAAATTATGGTAATTTGTACGCTTAGCTAAGGTAAAGACAGCAAAATTGCATCTAGCAATAAGTGTCGGATTTTGCAACAGATGGCACTTCAATAAGTTAGATAAGGAAATTGCACGTGTTTGAGTGAGACAAAAGAGATTGTAAAAAGTTTATTTAAAGATACCACTGACAAGAGTCTATTTTATCGACCTCGTGCAAATTTTTCCGATCTTCCAGCAAGGCGATCCTAAACTGGAATTAAATTCCAAAAATGTCGCTGTTTTACCGACGATTTGTAAGTGTGACGACAATGTATGCGTGCGATATTAATATAATAGTGTGTAGTGATGTGTTCATGTTTACTACCATATCGATATCTCATGCATCGTAACAAATTTTCAAGAACATACATCTTTTTTATTAGGCATCCAAGCTTAATTTTATGAACTCAATATTGTTTGCACATGTAATTCGTAATTCCGGCTGATATCATTTTGTACCAACAAACTGCCAAATTTTTGTATGTACAAAGCAAATATTAGCACATGTTGACAGCTCTAGACGCCATGTTGGATTAAGAAAAGGTAACGGAGATCTAATTTTCTTAAATTTTTTTCGTTCTCAGCATAACCTCTATCATTCGGAATTACATTGATGCCTGTACTTTAATCGTGGAGAAGGATTTTTAAATCTGTTGTCTTTAATTATGTTTATTTTGTCATGGAAAATAATCACGTTCGATCGATAAAACAGACAACTTTGGTTCGTCTTAAGTTTTTTGTGTACCATGGCCCTGATGACTGTCGTGTCTGCTGAACGCGCCCATTGTGGCTACGTCACTGGAGCATCGGTGGCGAGTGTGGCGACAGTGGTGACAGTGGCGTTACAGGCGTTGATAGTGTCAATGCATAGACTGATTTCAAAATACACTATACTCGGATATAACCGTCGTTATCAACGAAAGACCGCGTAAAATTCGTTCTAACGTTGACCGTGAAGAACTTACGAAATGTCAGATGGTGAGGACGATTTCATGTGTGAGGAAGAGGAGGATTACGGATTGGTAAGTTTCCCTGCAGAGACCACAGGACCGTCGTTTCATGGAATGTTTCTTCCGGCTCGTAGTGAGGTTAGAATTTCTGGAGCTCTCGCGTATGACATTTAAAAATAGTCCAAAGAGTACCACGAGAAATCCTTCTCGAGCGAATCCGTTTTTCGACAAATTTTCCATTATATATTATACAAACTGATCATTCGTCTGATTAGGTTAGGTTAGGTTATGATAACAATCTGCGGCGTTGAATTAAGTATTTAGTCTAACAACTCTTTGTTGTTAGAGGTCTCGACTAAACCTGCCTAATCACTAATTTGTTTCAGGAGTATTCCGAAGACTCCAACTCTGAACCAGACGTCGATCTAGAAAATCAATATTACAATAGTAAAGCTCTCAAGGAGGATGACCCAAAAGCTGCTTTACAAAGTTTTCAGAAAGTACTGGATCTGGAAGGCGGTGAGAAAGGAGAGTGGGGTTTTAAGGCTTTGAAACAGATGATCAAAATTAATTTTAAACTGGTATCTGAGATATGATTCGTTAGTGCATATTTGTAGCTTTTAGTATATACGGAAATTAAATATAACTTCTTCTTTTTAGTCCAATTATAAAGAGATGATGTCGAGGTACAAACAATTGTTAACTTACATTAAAAGTGCAGTTACTAGAAATCACTCGGAAAAGTCAATAAATTCTATATTGGACTATATTAGTACATCAAAGAATGTAAGTATAATTGAATAAACATATTATGTATTTTGATAAAGTATCTTGATAAATTGTTTTAGTTTTATTAAATTTTCTTATATAAAATTTTTTCTACATTTGCAATTAATTAATATCTTTTTTAAGATGGAGTTATTGCAAGATTTCTATGAAACAACTTTAGATGCATTAAAAGATGCCAAGAATGATAGGTTATGGTTTAAAACAAATACAAAATTGGGAAAACTATATTACGATCGTTCTGATTTTAATAAATTGGCAAAAATATTAAAACAACTTCACCAAAGTTGTCAGGTGAGTATATAAGCAACAGGTAATTGATTACATCATTTATGCACATATTATGTATTTAACTTATCTGATATACTTTTAGACTGATGATGGAGAAGATGATTTGAAGAAAGGAACGCAGTTATTGGAAATTTATGCCTTAGAGATACAGATGTATACAGCACAAAAAAATAATAAGAAATTGAAAACACTTTATGAACAGAGTCTTCATATTAAAAGTGCTATTCCTCATCCACTAATTATGGGTGTTATTAGAGGTAATAACTTGAACGTTTTTCAGAAGCAGCAGTATTTATGCCATTTTATGTAATAATTTTATCAAAGCTGGTTATCTTAAAAAGGCAATGTTATATTTAAAAAGTAATGCAATGTTATTGTTATTTTTTTTTTAAAAACTTGTTACCGTTACTGATTTAAAAAAGTAACGTGTTACCATTATTTTTGAAAAAGTCGTTACTCTTTATTGATTTTAAGAAGTAACATATTACTGTTACTATTTCTTAAAAAGTAACGACTCGTTACTATTTTGTTACTTTTTGTAATATGAAAATAAGTTTAATTAGATTTTAAATTTATATCATTTGATATATTATTAAATATAATAAATATTAAAATTTGAAATTCTTTAAACTAGTCTGTATATAAAGTAAGTTTTTCTTTACATTACTTATTTTTATAGAAATATTAAATTTATTGTTTTTAAATATTAATATCATTATTTAGAATGTATTCCAATATTCATTGTTAGTACTGAAAATCTGTAGTGTATATGTAATGTGAACTATAAATTTTCAATACTGATGATTATCGTAATATAGCCTAAGAGATAGAGTACAAAATATTTAAAAGATAATTAAAAATATATTATTAAAATAAGAAAATAAAAGATACAAAAGTAATGATAAAAATAACAGCAAATTTGTTACCATTACTATCAAAATGTAACAATGTTATAGATAGAAAAGCCTAACGATCGTTACTGAAAAAAGTAAACGAAAATAAAAACTGCGTTACAAGTAACGCATTGCTTTCCAACTCTAAATTTTATAATGTATGTATACTACTTAGAAAAGCAAAATACAAAATGATGAAATGCTTTTTTTTTAGAATGTGGGGGTAAGATGCATTTAAGAGAAGGTGAATTTGAAAGAGCCCATACCGATTTTTTCGAAGCCTTTAAAAATTACGACGAGTCGGGATCACCAAGACGTACAACTTGTTTAAAGTACTTAGTTTTGGCCAACATGTACGTATCTACTTTTCATCACATTATGCTTATTATCTATATTATATTTATATTATATTTATATAATTATAGTATGTACATTGTACATCTATATTGTATTATTATAGGTTAATGAAGTCTGGTATTAATCCATTTGATTCGCAAGAGGCAAAACCATACAAGAACGACCCTGAAATTTTAGCAATGACGAATTTAGTTCATAGTTATCAGAATAATGACATTAATCAGTTTGAATTAATTCTAAAACAAAATAGGAATAATATTATGGATGATCCCTTCATTAGAGAACACATTGAGGATTTATTGCGGAACATACGTACACAGGTATCTTTCACATTTTCAGCTTGCGTTAATATTAACATAAAATTTTTATTTGATAATTTATTAAAATATTTGAGGTAACAAATGTGTATGTCATGTTTATACAATATTTTATTAATGTACACAATTGTTTTAGGTTCTAATCAAGTTGATAAGACCATATACGAGAATTTATATTCCTTTCATAAGTAAGGAATTGAACATTGACGTTTCTGAAGTAGAAAGTCTCTTAGTTTCTTGCATTTTGGACAATACTATTCATGGTCGTATAGATCAGGTGATTATTCTTTAAATTTAGAGCATTTACGAATCTGATTATACATAATTCTTTCTAATCGTATAATATAACTTCTATATTTTTTGCAGGTAAATCAAGTTCTTGAATTGGATAAGAAATCTGTATGTGCCGCGCGTTACAATGCTCTCGATAAATGGGCAGGTCAGTTGCAATCCTTGCATACAGCCATTGTGAACAAAATGTCTTAAGTGACATAATGCACGGTGTGATCCTGCAATAAACACAATCTAATTTTCACTTTGTGTATAGTATATCATAATGCCCTATACAAACATATGAAAAAATGAAATCTATTGTGATATAATAAATTTAGCATTTTAGCACGGGAGTTAATTTTATTTCCATTGAATAAATTATATTATAA